TGATACTGCCTCGGAAACCTAAGGAGGGGTCGCTATGAGTTGGTGCCGACTTGACGGCACATAACAACATAACAACTGAGTCAGTGGTGATTCAGTGGTAGAAATCTCACTTTCCATGCCAGAAACTTCTGTTTGATTCCCAGCCAATTCATCTCATACGGAGTTGCCAACCATCTGTGAGTGGAAGCTTGTGTGTTGCTGTGATGCTCAACAGGTGTCAGTGGAGCTTCCAGACTAAGGTAAACTAGGAAGAAAGGCCTGGTGATTAGCTTCCAAACAGCCAGTAAAACCCTATTAATCACAGTGGTCCAGTCTGTAACCCATCATGGGAATAGTATAGGACTAGGCATCATTTCATTTAGTTTACATTAGGGTTTACTCTTTGTGTTGTACAGCCCTATGGGCTTTGGGAAATGCATAATGTCATGTGTCATCATTACAGTATCATGCAGAATAGTTTCACTGCTCTAAAAATGCCCTGTGTTCCATCTTTTTATCCCTCTTGCTTTCCCTCATAATCTAGAGAAACACTGATTTTTTTGTCTTCTCATTTTCCTGAAACCATATCTTTTTATTGGTACCTCTTTACAGTGTTCTGCCCAGGTGTGGAGGAGGGAAAAGTTGATGATTGGATTTTATGTACAGATATGCATGCAGTCAACAGCAAAGGTGATAATTAAAAGCTAGTCCCAAAGACAAAATAGCTTTATATTTATCTGTAGATTTACCTACTCTGACCCACTAGAACTCATAACATACTCTGGATTTTAAAATTATATTTATTATATATCAAGAGTTACATACTCAAAAACAGATCATTGGTTTGTAAGACAATTAGGGGTTTCTTTTTTTGCCATACAAGTCTTGTCTGGAAAGTAGCCTATTGGAAGCTTTTTTTTGAATCTTAATTTAAAACTTAAAAGATTTCATTATGTCCGATAATGGTTTTTAGTAGGTATGTTTGTGGTAGTGCATGCCCCTTGATTTGATACATAAGAAATCTCTTTTTCTCGTTTCAGGCACTGGAACTGGTCACCACTGTCACTGTCCTCTTTCCAGTGCATGAATCCGTTTGATAAAGAACAGATAAACAGCCCATTCCTGCTCCCTTTACTAGAGAGTTGAGAATTCCTTTACTCGGTATTGGCTTGCCCTAGGGCACTTTAAGGAGCCTGGTGTGTCAGTGGTTGAACACTCCTACCTAAAGGTCATCTGTTCTAACTCATTCAGTGGCTCCAGGGGAGAGAGACTGGGCAATCTGCTTCCATAAAGATTACAGCCAAAAAAGCCCTAGGGGGCAATTCTCCTCTGTCTCATGGGGTCACAATGAGTTGAAATGACTCAACAGTGTGGTACCTAACAACAGAGCAGTTTATTTAACTGTTTCCTGCCTTGGTTAGGTATGGAGTGTACTTATCTACCAAGATTTTACTTCTGAAGGGTATCTGCAGGATTCTGTGTTGTCAGACTTTGACTTCTCTAGAGCTCTTGTTTATGACTGGTTGTAACTTACATGATAAGCATGAAGGTGGTTCATATGTCTTGACTGGAGAATTCTAGAAATCTTTTGCTTAAGTTGACTCTATTTCCTTCCAGTTGCAGTTGTTTTGACCTTGGTGTAGAGAGAAAACCATAAATGAATGAATGAATGAATGAATGAATGAATGGAAAAACCTAATTTGATTTCTAACTGATAGGGACACTGTAGAACAGAGTAGAACTGCCCCTTAGGGCTTCTGAGGCTGCAAATCTTCACAGAAGCAGACTGCCTCATCTTTTTCCTATGGAGAGCTGGTGGGTTTGAACTGCCAACCTTTTGATTAGCAGCCGAATGCTTTACCTTTTTAATTGTCCTTTATTTTCTTAAATCAAATTCACCCACAGTCCCTTCTTTTAGGTGAAGTATTCCACTCTACTTGTCCTTTTCTTACAGTCTCATTTAAGGACAAAGCCAGCAGACAAAACAAAACCCGAAATCAAACCATCTTCACCTACTACAATATCCTACTGACTTTTCCTGATTAAGATTAAATATATTGTTATTTCTTCAGTATTTGAAAATCTTTCAGCCAGGAAGATATGGGCCAAAAACCCAACTAGGTTAGCAATCTAGAACCTTGCCTTTTATTCTGGCACACTGGTGTCAGAAGAAATCTAATTCTGTCAGAGAGAATAGAAATGAACCATGCATATGATTTGTTGGGTAAATGAACCTGTTTTCTAGAGCTTCTTGAGTTCACATTTTCAGAGAGGCTGAATGTGCATTACAAAGACAAACATCATTTTTGGATTCCATAATTTGGTATTTGTGGTCCCATTTCTTCTTCCTTTTAGCACTAAATCCTTATACATTAATTCAAATGTAATGTCTCACCATTGTTAAATCTTGCATTCTTATATTTATGCACCTATGGTATTATGCTTATATCCTTGTGGCTTACATACTTAGAAAAAAAAACCACCCAGTTATTGACTTGCTTATTCACAGTTGTTGATACTAGTTGCTGTCAAGTTGATTCCTACTCATGGCACCTCCATGCATGTAGAGTAGAACTGTACTCTCATAGCTGTGACCTTTCGGAAAAAGACCTGTCTTCTGAGATACCTCATAGTGGATTTGAACTGCTAGCCTTTTGGTTAATAATGCAGCGCTTAGCCATTTGCACCACCCAGGGACTACTGACAGTTTTTTAAAAAATTAAACCGAACTCACTGCAATTGAGT